GGCGGCGGGTGGGCATAGAGCTCAGGGCCGGCATTTGCAGTTTCGGTCCCCACCTGCCGTCCTGACCGCCTCCGGGTCTGACTCCCATCTGGACCCTCCCCAGGCCCTCTGGACCAGCGTGGAGGCCACCACAGCGGGTGAGTGACCCCGCCCCATCCCTGGGGCAGGTCTGGGAGGAGCAGGGGACCACCACCACCCCACACCTCCTCCCTGTCTCTCAGCCCCCAGCTCAGTGAGAAACCTTAGCATGGAGGCTCGGACCACCAGTTCCATCAGCCTTGCCTGGGTGGCCCCCACCGACTTGGACCCGTCCGCCTATCTCTATTGGGTGCAGTGTTCTGGGGCAGGCGTGTCAGGTGGGAGCGCCAGCACCTGGGAGTGCCAGCTCATGGTGGAGGGGCTCCAGCCCGGGACCCTCTACAACTTCTCCGTGTGGGCCGAAAAGGACGGCGTGGGTGGCCCCAGGGACGTCCTGAGCGCGTCCACAGGTAGGAGAGGCCCCCTGCCCATTGCCTAGCGACGTGTGTGCGCACATATGCGGAAAGTGCCAGGCTGTGCACTTTATTCTCATGATGAGAGCCGCAAGGAAACATCATCCAATGACCTTTCTGGCCAGGCGTGGTGTCTCACGCCTGTCATCACAGCACATTGGGAGGTGGAGGTGGGAGGCTCGCTTGAGCCCAGGAGTTTGAGCCCAGCCTGGGCAACTTGGTGAGACCTCGTCTCTGTGAAAAGTAAAATAACTAGCCGGACATGTGGCATGCACCTGTAGTCTCAGCTACTCAGGAGGCTGAAGCAGAGTCCAGAGGTTGAGGCTTGTGAGCTGTGATCGCACCACTGCACTCTAGCCTGGGCGACAGAGTGAGACTCTGACACAAACAATAATAAAAATAACTCTTCTTTCTTTCCAAGTTCCCAACCCGGTCACTGGCCTGGCCATGGAGGCTCGGACCACCAGCTCCCTCACCCTAAGGTGGACGGCCTCCACGGGCCCAGACCCCAACACCTACCACTACTGGCTCCACTGGGCCGGGGAGGGTGTCCCCGGGGGCACTCAGGACTCCTCAGGCACCAGGGTGACCGTGGAGGGCCTGGCCGCGGGGACCCAATACACCTTCAATGTGTGGGCGCAGAGGCACGGGGTCAACAGCTCCAGCCAGACGCTCACAGAGGCCACAGGTGAGGGGGTGCATCCTGTGCTCGGGAGAAGCGGGAGGGAGCAGGGGGTCTCAGAAGGC